TTGGAGACCAGACTGGCCAACATGGCAAAACCCCATCTCTACTAAAAGTACAAAAATTAGCCGGGCGTGGTGCCATGTGCCTGTAGTCCCACTACTCAGGGAGGCTGAAGCAGGAGAATCGCTTGAATCGGCGAGGGAGAGGTTGTAGTGAGCCGAGATCAGGCCACTGCACTCCAGCCCGGGCAACAAAGTGAGACTCCATCTCAAAAAAAAAAAAAAAAAAAAAAAAGGAATGATGCAATAGCTTTCTTTCCAAATGTCAACATCTACAACTTACCAGCAATTACATATTTTCCAAGTATTTAAACCCATGATGAAGATTTGTGATGTCATTTTAAAAACGTGTGATGTGGTATACAATCTTGTCAAAATTATTTTACAAGGTACAGCAAGAGAAACTGTCTGATGATCACTGTCACTGTTATGGTCATTTTGGGGAGCCACCAGAGGGTTTTGAGCAGGACAGCCATGCTATCTTTTAGTGTTTTACAAAGCACTGTTGGGGATGGAGTAGAAGCTGGAAGCCAGTTAGAGGCCACTGTAGTAATCAAGCCTAAATGGTGCTGTGGGCCAGGTAGTAGTGAAGGTGGTGGGAAGCGATTCTTTGTTGTTGTTTTTGTTGTTTTTGAGACAAGGTCTTGCTGTCACCCAGGCTAGAGTGCAATGGTGTGATCATAGCTTACTGCAGCTTCAACCTTCCAGGCTCAAGTAAGCCTCCTACCTCAGCCTTCCCAGTAGCTGGGACCATGTCCAACTATTATTTTCTTCAGAGACACAGTCTCACTGTGTTGTCCAGGCTGAAATGTTTAATATATGTTGAGGGTAGAGCTAATAGGGTTTGCTGTGTGATCTGATGTACCACGTGGAAAGAGAGAACGAGAGAGAAAGAATGTATCTCCAGCTACAGGGTTCAGGGTTGATCAACTCATCTACTGATCTATAAACTCATCTCTAAAATGAATTTGATAGCACCCTTTGGCTCATAGAGCTGTTGTTGTGAGGTTTAAAGAAGATTTAATGCTCCTGAACTAATAAAAGGCAGAGTGGCAACCCCCTAGTAAAAGATAACCTACTTTAGCTATTTTATAGACTGTCTCTCTTAGCAACTGATCTTCATCTTATCACTGCTGTTTTAAGGGTCATTAGTGTTTTGTCTTCTTTTGTTTTTACAATAAACTCTGCCTTTATAGACAGTAGGAGTGAGTCTTACAGATCTTTGCACCCTCAGCTCATACCCTAGTGCCTGAACATGTCTTCCTTAAATATGTGTTACTATCTTCTCCTTGCCAAGTCTCATGTATATGAAGTTCTGAAATCCGTTCCTTTTCATCTCTCCAACTACCTCATGGTCCAAATTCCTTAACCTGACTATGAGACCGTATTTTCCTGTCTCCCTCCCCTATGCCCCCCAATCCCTCTATCCATAAATGTAGATGCCAATGACAGGCGAATAACATACGCCCTTTCAAAAGCATGTTCAACATTTATTTTAACACAGTTGAGAGCGAAGGATAGAGAAGCAACACCCCAGGAGGTAGCTCTTACTGTTCCCTCTGTTGTCCCAAGCTCTTGCTAGAAAATTGCACACCCCCTTCAGGCAAACAAAAGCCCTGCAGTTAACAGAACTATCCCTTTTGAAGGCAAGTTAGCAAAGCTTCCACTCACCACAATGCTTTGCGATGCCCTATTCATCAGTCTGTCTTCACTCCTCACCTACCCAGGATCTAGCCCAGGAGAGCCTGTCATATAACAGATGTTCAATAGCCATTCTCTAAGCACTGCTGCGTGCCGAAGGGAAATGTGATGAATTAGACTTGGAGATGGAGAAATGGAACATTGAGCAAGAAGTCAAAAGGGGTAGTTTGACTTAGGGCTTAAATTCAGGCTATGACAATAATTGTGAGATTCGGGCAAACTGATTCTTACTTTCTCTGTTGTGAAATGGGCCTTGATGACTTTCGAACTTTCAAACTTCTTTTAACTGGTACGCTCAGGTATATGCTTTGTACTGTGATGAGAACACGGTGAGCATGCACACATACCCACACACAACAGAAACAACGGGCCATGAAACCACACATCCTAACTTCCAATTAAGTTTTTTTAGTGTTTTTTTGTTTTGTTTTTTGTTTTTTGTTTTTTGTTTTGCCAGGGTATCACTCTGTCACCCAAGCTGAAGGGCAGTGGTGTGATCTCGGCTCATTGCAACCTCTGCCTCCTGGACTCAAATGATTCACCCACCACAGCCTCACAAGTAGCTGGGACCACAGGCACACACCACCATGCCCAGCTAATGTTTTGTATATTTTGTAGAGATAGGGTCTTGCCGTGTTGCCCAGGCTGGTCTCAAGCATGAGCCACAGTGCCTGGCCTTAATTCATAAAAAAAAAAAAAAAGTAGTCATCATGTACCCCATAAACAGCTACCATGTACCCACAAAAAAATTAAAAATAATAATAATAGTCATGACTCAGTACATAGATTTTACCAACCTCTCGTAGATTTCAACCCACAGTTTAAAAAAATATCACCTGAAAGGGTTAAGGGTGATAACGCATGGAAAGGGTTTGGTCCCAAAGAAGGCTCCTTAAATGGAAAACTGAAAAGTGCTATAGTAGAGGAACCTTCAAAATGAAGTGGTAGGGAGTGTCAATTAATTCTGCTGACAAAGGGAAGGAGGAAGGTTGAGGATGAATTAAATACACAAAATACCAATGGGGGAAAATTGTGGTGCTGCTTAGAACTTTCCTAGCCCTCATCTTTGCATGGCTGGATTCTTCTCATCCATCTTTTGGTTCTCAGCTCAAATGCCTCTGCCTCATGAAGCCCTCCCAGAGCATGAGCTCCTGCTAACCTTCCTTTTTCTCACTGTACGCTATTACTGTTACTCCCTCCATAGAACTGTCAACTAAAGAATCATGAGGTTCATAAATTTGGGGAGGAGAGCTTTATTTCTGTTTGTTTGTTTGTTTTTTGAGACAGGGTCTTGCTCTATTGCCCCGGCTGGAGTGCAGTGGTGCAATCATAACTCACTGCAGCGCTGAACTCCTAGGCGCAAGCAATCTTCCGCCCTCAGCCCCCTGAGTAGCTGGGACCACAGCCACATGCCACCACGCCCAACTAATTTTTAAATGTTGTGTTTTTTGTTTTTTGCAGAGACCACCCAGGCTGGCTGGAACTCATGGACTCAAGTGATCCTCCCACTTCAGCCTCCCAAATTGTTGGAATTACAGGCATGATCCACTGTGCCCGGCCTGAAGAGGTTTATTTCTGAAGGGTTGGAGCCTGCAGGCTGGCCATCCTGATAAGCTGGGAAGTATGGTCTCTGGCAGAGACCAAAAGCAGGCACTTTGAAGGAGAGAAGGGTGAAGCAGGAACTTATGCCAAATGGGTTGGCCAAGTATACATATTTAACAGGTTATAGGAGAAGCTATGAATATTCAGGAAAGAGGGGTGCACACATGCATAACAAACAAACATGCATGTTACGTGGGTCACATGTTCACTGTGGGGTAGAGACTTAATATTTAATTGCATTATGTCAAAAGGCAAAGTAGAGAACATAAAGGCACTCAGTGTGCAGCCTCTGCAAACCGGCTAGGGCCAGTCTTTGGTGAGTGGTCTCTTATCAGGAGAAAGTTACTGAAATCAGTCTCTTGTCTAATCAAAGCAGGAGTTATGGCTTGTGGAACAAAGGGATCAGTTAGTCAGTGACTGGTAGTTGGTAAGCTGCAATTGTTTTAATATTGCTTGTTTAGCTGCTAGAGGAAAAAAACGAACATTGTGGCAGTTAGAACATAGTTTATTCTTTAAGCGTCTGGGTGAGTGACTTAACCCTTGCCTGGCAGGACCTTAGGTCTTGTTTATAAGTTGGTATGTTACTGCCACAAAAAAATCTAGTCCATCAGTCTTAGGATTTTTTTTTTTTTTTTTTTTTTGAGACAGTGTCACTCTATCACCCAGGCTGGAGTGCAGTGGCTCACTGCAACCTCTGTCTCCTGGGTTCAAGTGACTCTCGTGCCTCAGCTTCCCAAATAACTGGGATTACAGGAATGCACAACCACGCCTGGATAATTTTTTTGTATTTTCAGTAGAGACAGGGTTTTGTCATGTTGCCTAGGCTGGTCTCAACTCCTGACCTCAAGTGATCCACTCGCCTCAGCCCCCCAAAGTGCTGGGATTACAGGCGTGAGCCCCCGCGCCCGGCCAGGATCTCCATTTTAACAAAAGTATTCTTATTTGAAATAAATTTCTTATTTGCATGTTTGTTGCCTGCTGTAACCCTTCCTCTTTGTGGGCAGGAATCCTGTCTATCTGGCTCATACCCGTATCAATACAGTGTCTAGCATGTTAGGCAATAAAATGGTTTTGAATGAAAGAATGCCACCAATAAATGAACAAGCAGGCCTTGTGATCAAATATAAATGTAGTCAAATCCTTACAGATCTCTTCTTAAGCTATAGGTATTTGGGCTTATACTTTGCCTCATTTATGAATTATGAAAGTTAGGTGACGTGAGAAGAAAGTAACCAAGAGAGAAGTGTTTACTTAAGGAGTTGGTTATCTAGGATACCATAATTAAGGAAGCTGGTTATTTAGGGTTCTAGTTAGTTCTGTACAGATTTCATTACTCCTTGAGATCCTTGAGGACAGAACCAGCTCTTTGATTTCTGTATCCCTCGCTAGCGACCAGAATAATGCCTGGAAGGTAGCGGGCGCTCAATCAACATTTGAGGAATGAAGGAACCAAGCGGCGAACGGGGAATAAATGAATGAACGATCTGGCTCCGGAGGGCTGCAGTTCCTCCCCGGGGCAGGAGGCGGCGCCAGCGTTACGCCAGCCTGGCCGCAGGCAGTTCTTGGTCCCTCCGGCTGACCGTCCAACGCTAAGCTCCGAGGCTGGTGCAAGAGATAGCCAATAGAAAGCCGTCTTAGTTGGCGGTCTACTAGAGGAACCCAATGAGCGTAGCGGGTATAGGCAAGGGGCGGTGCGACGGGGAGGGGCAGCGGGGAGCGGTTAGAGGTGGGAGTTGGCGCTGCGGGCCGGGCGGGGGCCGCGGAAGCTGCGATGCGGACGGGGCCGCGGCGGTGAGCTGAGCTGCCGCCAGACATGAACTCGCTGGAGCAGGCGGAAGGTAGGGTGGGCCGCCCGGGCCCGTCCCACGTCTCCTCTCAGAAGCTGGCGGCGCTCCGGAGGGGCCGGCGTCGTGAAGACCCCCGCCCGGGGAGGAGGCCGCAGAGGATGGAGCTCGGGGCCCGGAGCTTGGGGGCGCGGAGGCAGCCGTACCTGGCCGGACGCGGGGGGCGGCGCCTCAGCTCCCTCTGTCCCCACAAGCCTAGAGGGTTTTGAGCTCCTCGCCAGCTACTATTTTTATTTTCTATTCATTGGCAGACACTTGCACTCCGTGCATTGCAGCCTGCTAATTCATTTCATTTCATTCTCACAGCCCCGCGAGTTGTATCCCTGATTCCTACGGTGGTTTCCGGTAACTGCCAAGGTTAGGAAGTGCCGCTCGGTGTTTTAAAGTTTAAAGCACACCACTGCGGAAAGGATACCCCACCACTCGGAGCAGCTTAGACGCCCCTGTCTTCTAGAACTAGGCGCTGCCTGGGCGCCACGAAGATCACCTGTACCCCCTTCGGAGGGGGCAAGGGGAATGTCTTTCCACACCCACCCGCTATCAGTGTCAAGAAGTCTAGTAAGGCCAGACAGCGTAGCCATTAATTAAATATAAGAGCTGGAAACAGCAGGCGGGTAATTGTAGTCAGGTAGACCTCGAAGACTTTGATGTTAGGCACTACGTGGTTCTAATAGGAAGTTCTTGGTTCCCGGAGAGCTAAAACTGGATTTTAATTTTATTTGCAACCCTGAAATTGTTCGCTTTTGGCGCTGGCTGAGGCAGCTGCTTAGTTTCTCCCCATACCATTTTTATGAAGCTTCTAAAAGTGAATCAGTAAGTTTTCTTATATGAGAAATTGGAATTAAAGAACTCTAATGTTTTTGTCAAGTGCTTAAAAAGCTGTCATAGTAAATGAAATAAACAGTGCAGTGATACATGGAAGTTAGTGTGTAAGACCTGAAGCAGTTAAGAGTGTCTCACGTGTCGTCTTAATGTTAGGTAAATACTCTGTGACATTTCGTCAGAAGAGTAAGAGTGGCTAATTGGAAAATTGACATCTTTCTACCTAGATCTCAAGGCTTTTGAGAGGAGACTTACTGAATATATTCATTGTTTGCAACCTGCTACTGGTCGTTGGAGAAGTAAGTTCCTGAATGTTATTTTAAGGGAAAACTAACAGTTGATAATTTTATCCTTATGTAGGAATGATTTGCTTTTATGTAAAATGTTTGCGTAAATTTATTTAACATTGTGAACAATGCCTTATGAAGAAATGTTTAAGAAAAGGAAATTGTAACTGGCCTTCTCAAAAGAACAGTCTATGTCGTGTGGTTGTTTTTGTTTTTGCATTAAAAAACATATTTTTGGCCAGGCGCTGTAGCTCACGCCTATAATCCCAGCACTTTGGGAAGCCCAGGCAGGCGGATCACCTGAGGTCAGAAGTTCAAGACTAGCCTGGCCAACACGGTGAAACCTCGTCTCTACTGAAAATACAAAATAAGCCGGTCATGGTGGTGCCGCCTGTGATCGCAGCTACTCGGGAGGCTGAGGTGGGAGAATCGGTTGAACCCGGGAGGCAGAGATTGCAGTGGGCCGAGATTGCGCCATTGCACTCCAGCCTGGGCGACAAGAGCAAAACCCAGTCTCAATAAATAAATAATAAAAATATTTAAATTTTTAAATTAACTATTACAACTTTGATAAAGACATACCTAATAAAAATTTCACTAGCCCGTTTGGCAGTTTTATAATTTGCCTACAAACTATTGGAATAAAATTTTAGTAAGAAGAATCATATTGGCAGGGCGCAGTGAGTCACGCGCATAAAAATCCCAGTGCTTTGGGAGGCCGAGGCGGGAGGATTGCTTGAGCATGGGAGTTTGAGATCAGCCTGGGTAACATGGAGAGACCCCATCTCTACTCAAAAAAAAAAAAAAAAAAAATTTAGCCAGGCATGGTGGCACACCCCGAGGTCCTAGCAACTTGGGAGGATCACTTGATCCCCAGGAGGTTGAGGCTGTAGTAAGCTGTGTAGTGCGCTAAGTGAGCTATGTTCACTGCACTCCAGCTTAGGGAACAGAGGGAGACCCCGTGTTTTTTTTAAAAAAAAAAAGTAAAGTCATGTTATTTAATGTATACTTGGAAAAGTTACAAAATTACCCTTAGTTGATTTTTAACAAAGCATAACTGCTGCTTTGAAGTCTGACCTAGAAAAGAAATTCACATTATTAGTATCTATTCATAAGTATCATGAGTGCTACAAAATATAATTTGAACAGTGATTACTTGCCCATGGAAATACATAGGAAGTGTGGACAAATATAGGAGCCATGAGATCATCAAACAAAATGCTTTGTTAGTATATGTTTGGAATAGTTTTGGTTTGTTTTTTGGAATGAAGTCTCGTTCTGTTGCCCAGGCTAGAGTGCAGTGGCGCCATCTCGGCTCACCGCAACCTCTGCCTCCCGGGTTCAAGTGATTCTCCTGCCTCATCCTCCCGAGTAGCTGAGATTACAGGTGCCCGCCACCACGTGCAGCTAATTTTTTTGTATATTTTTAGTGGAGATGAGGTTTCTCCATTTTGGCCAGGCTGGTCTCAAACTCCTCACCACAGGTGAGGCTTCCCAAAGTGCTAGGATTACAGGTGTGAGCCACCACACCGGGCCAAATAGTTTTAATTTCTTGGATGGTCATTATTTAAATTTAATTCCTATCAAGAAGGAAGTGTAGTAGCACACATTGAGGATTTACTTTATTTCAAAGCGTAAATCGGTTTGCTGGACCAAAAAAGTACTATTGAAGCTAAGGATCTGGCAAGATTTTTTGTGTAATTGTTATTAAATCTATTTGCAAAGTTTTATTAGTATGCTGTGAGAATTCTGGTTGGTCAGAATTTACAGGTAATGATTTTCCTAGGTTCTCTGGTTTACCTAGGAATTATCCCCAAAACCTATGTTTCACTGTTAATTGAATATCTTTTAAAATGTATATGATACTGCCCTATCTTATAAAAGGTGATATAAATATACTTACTTTTTCTCTGACTCATGGTCTTAGCACTTACTTGGTTAATGAACCAGCCAAATAAAGCATGTGTATGAGGTCCTTTCTAGTGTATTGATTTTGCTTTTGCTTATTTTTTTTAAAACATACATGTGTAATATAGTGTGTGTATTTCTGCAAATACAGAATTGTAAGAAATTGAGTTAAGTCTATTCTGAGTTCAGAACATAGTTTTGATATTTTGATCCTGTTTTTCTATATTTGCTATATTTCTGTTGCTCTTGGAAACTGGATTTCCACATTTGAAAAATGTATGCGTCCTAACTGAAAGACAGGCAACGGTCATCATCTCCAGAATATTAACTGGGTCTTGATGCCCCTTTATTATTTTTTACTAATACCATTCTTAAGTTTTACTTACAATTTATTTAGAATTTCTAAAATCATGCTAGCTCAGTGGAGAGAAAGACCTTTTCTTAGTTTTACTGGCAGAATTTCTACCCTACCTTTAAGTCCCTTAAAGAAAATCCGATACTAACTGGTGTGCTCCATACTTCCTGCACTGACTTTAATGTAACCATGGCAGTCATCTGCAAAGCAAAATCCTTTAGTCAGTCTTCTCAGTACATTCAAAAAGGAGTCTTTGATGGTTTCTTTACAGTAGAAAATGAGTTTGTTGTTTTTTTAATTTGAGTTTACAAGATCTGTAAAATCTTCACTAAGCACAGTGAACATTACATAGCATAGACTCTTCTACTGAAGTGTCACCATCGAATTGCTTTTTATTTCATTGATCTTCATAAGTTCTGACCAAATCATAAGAGAAACAGTATCCTTAATTACTAAGGTTCACAATGTTTAAGAGAATTCCTGGAAGCCATATGGCAAGCCTCCTAATTCCTGAGTCTAGTTAGTGCATTTTCCATTTAATAAAGTGCTATATTCTTTGGTTGTCATTTAGTAGGAACTTCTGGTGATAGTATCACATATTAAGTATGTATTTGCTTACTAATTTCGTGTTTATCTTTCATCAGTGCTTCTTATAGTGGTATCTGTCTGTACAGCTACTGGTGCCTGGAACTGGTTAATAGACCCTGAGACACAAAAGGTAGAAGTTTTGTTTTAAAATCATTAGCATAATTAAATGAGATAATGGATATTGTAGTGCTTTGTTAATGATAAAGTATTCAAACACTACTACTAGTGATATTGTCGTATTAAAAATATGCCTTTTATTAATTTGCTCAAGGAAGATTTTGGCTGGCTGTTGTGAATTAAGTGTCTTTACAGGGAAAAGGTCTAAGAGATGCTATTATTTCTTAGACATTTAGTTGTTATTTGTCATTCACTTCTGAATTTATCATTTGTACATTTTTTATATATCTCTCATTTTTACTTCAGTGTGAGTATTCTCTTCATTCTGCTTTGTTCATTGAGTGTAATCAGTGCCAGCTTTTAAAAGTTCTAAAATAGGCCAGGCATGGTGGCTCACACCTGGAATCCCAACACTTTGGGATGCCAAGGCAGGAGTTCAAGACCAGCCTGGGCAATGTAATCTAGCAAGACCCCATCTCTACAAAAAATTTAAAAATCAGCCAGGTGTAGTGGCGCATGCTGTACCCAGCTACTTTGGAGGCTGAAGTAGGAGGATCACTTGAGCTCAGGAGATCGAGACTGCAGTGAGCTATGATTGTGCCACTACACTCCAGCCTGTGTGCCAGAGCGATACCCTGTCTCAGAAAAAAAGAGGGAGAGAAAAAAATTATAAAAAAACATTTTCTTCAATGAGTTATCTCACTGGAGATGACTTTATGGGAAACATATGATAAAATAGCAAAATACAAGTATAATAAAAAGTCAGGACTAGATAAAAACAAGTTGGACCACGAGGTCAAAACCAGAAAGGAAACCAGCTCACTGATGTATAGGCCATGTAGCCCAACACAGTTGCCAAAATTGGATTATAAATTAGTCTCTGAGTTACCTAATCAGTGAAGTCACAGTTAATTCTGTGATTTTCATGGTCTGTAAGATAACACATATATCAGTTCCTTGGGCTAGCAAAGCTTTTCTTTCCCAACATTTCTCTCTGAAAAAAAATTTCTTGCCTGAAGTTTAATATAGGAAACACTGAGGAATCTCCCATTGGGCACTGTGCAAAAATATCCCTATACCAAATGCAATAACTGATTTCATAATGTTATTCCTTGAAGCATCCTTTGATGAAAGCTGATAGCATGTTTCTCACATTTCCACCTCTTTCTACTAACTTGTGCCTTAATTTCAAACTCAGGGCTTTTTTTTATTAGGGAAGTAGTTAGTCTCCAATTTTTCAGTGAAGTTTCTTTCCCCCAGTGCAGTTTTATTTAGGGAGTAATGATGTAATTTTCACAAATCTTAAAAATCCCCTCCCCACTTTAAGCTGCAATTAACCAAGTAGTACTTTCAGTAGCTCTGTTTGTATTTGTTTTACAGAAGAAAAACCTAAGAGAAGGCTTTTGTCATCAGTCTTTATGGCAATTCAGACAGCCAGAGAGGTTTATTTCCCACATAGTCTCCCTAACTTTATCTGCTGAGGTGGAGATATAGAAAAGGATAGGTGGCAAGGGGAAATTGGTGATGGAATTTTATGTTAATAGAGGATTTTTATGGCAGACAGGAAACTCTCTTGTGTGTTCATTTATAAAAATCTGATCTTAAGGCTGCATTTGGTAGTCATCTTTAGGGGAAGAGTGGAAGGAGGCTGGCAAGAAGATTGAAAAAGATCCATCTTGGGAAATGAGTCTGACTTCTAATTGGGAAAAATATAAGCTGATTTCAGCTAGTTGAGATCTTAATAAAACACAAAATTAAATGTAATTTGAAATAGGCCCAAAACTATGTAGTTAATATAATTTTCTAAATTAGGTGAGAATATAACTATTCGCCTAAGGGTTGGCTCTTTATATTTCAGTATTTAATAACCCCAAACCTGACAGGAGTTTTAACCAGCAATTGTATTTGTAGCAAGAGTTGCAAACTCAGGAGCCAGTGGCTAGCTGGAAGAACCTAGGGAGAGAAAGAATATGGCAGACAGGAAGTACCTGACTGCCTGGCCTGGAGAGAACCACTGTTTCGATGCACTGGAATGTTGCCACGGAGGGAGGAAGGCTGAAACTGATGGCCTAATTAAAATGAAGACATAAAGCATTGTATATGCTAACCTGGTGCAGGCTACACACAACAGAGCTGGCTTGTGAAAAACTGTCCTCGGAGGTTTGAAGAAGACATTCTTCTGGAATATTAACTTTTCCTTGGGTCATCATCTTTCTGGCAGCTTCTTTCCTGGTATTTTCAGACTCTCATTTCTTCATCTGACAAACTTCTGTAACCAGTACCATGCTGGGCCATCTGATACCTGGCGCTTCTGTCTTAAAACGCGTACCTGCGCATCTCCTGCTGTGAGAGTCGAGTGGGGTGTGTGGAACTTGATTCTCTTGCTCCCATCTAGTTACTAATTCACTTGATTTCTTTCTACAGAGGCTCTAAATGCTTGTCTTCTCTGTGTCTCCAGTTGACATTTCCATTTCGGTGCCTACTCTTGTTCCAGTCATGGATCCTGGACCCTTGGCCCTCTACATATTCTTAGACTTGTGGATTGTCCTGTTTTCTGCTGTCATTCGATATATCCAGATCTGAAATCAGCCCTTTCTCTCTTTCATTTTAGTTCTTTATGGATAGCTACTAATCGTTTTTCCCTTCTTGAATGTCCTGTGGTCATTTAGATCTCAGTAGCTTCAAAACCAAATTTGTTTTTTTGCCTCTGCAGGGAGGAAGGGGTGATGCTGGAATTGAGTGTTACGAGGTTGTGTAAGAGTTAGCCAGGTGGAGGGAGAGAAGTGAACAAGGCAGCGTATGTGTGGAAATATGGCAGGAGATGAAAATTAGACTGGGACCAGGTTATGAATGGCAGTTTGCTCAACTCTTCTAAGGAAGCTTTATAACAGCGAAAGTAGGCCGGGCGTGGTGGTTCATGCCTGTAATCCCAGCACTTTGGGAGGCTGAAGTGGGCGGATCACCTGAGGTCAAGAGTTCAAGACCAGCCTGGCCAATATGGTGAAACCCTATCTCTACTAAAAATACAAAAATTAGCCAGGCGTGGTGGTGGGTGCCTGTAATCCCAGCTACTTGGGAGGCTGAGGCAGGAGAATTGCTTGAATCCTGGAGGTGGAGGTTGAGGTAGAGGTTGCAGTAACCTGAGAACGTGTTATTGCACTCCAGCCTGGGTGACAAGAGTGAAACTCTGTCTCTAAAAAAAAAAAAAACAGGGAAGGTAACTAAATCATGTTTGATTTGTGTTTTCATTGAGACCAGAGGCCTCATCTTCACTCGTTCAATGCAGAGTTCAGTAAATATTTTTGATAGGGTTGTTTTTTGATTATAGGAATGAATTTGTAATAGTTCAAGTATTTGAAATGGATGGGGGGAATACTGCTATATTTATCTTTATAGAAGATAGAAAGCCTATACATTTTTATTTTTACAACACAGCAATTACAGAGAACTAAGATTATTAGAAGTCTTCAAATCCTCATAGTTTAGATGATAAAAAAAAATTATATATATTTACGTACAAATGGGGAGGTAGGAATCAGCCATCCCAAGATTTTTAACATTTTTATATTTTCAACTCTTACAGGTGTCCTTCTTCACATCATTATGGAATCACCCATTTTTCACCATTAGCTGTATCACTCTAATAGGCTTGTTCTTTGCTGGAATACACAAGAGAGTAGTTGCACCATCAATGTATCCTTTACCAAGGATTGTTTCATTCTCTGAAGTGCTTTCTTGATGTAGGTAATGATTAAAAGCTTACTCTTGCTGGGCGCGGTGGCTCATGCCTGTAATCCCAGCGCTTTGGGAGGCCTAGGTGGGCGGATTTCCTGAGCTCAGGAGTTCGAGACCAGCCTGGGCAACATGGTGAAGCCACATCTCTACTAAAATACAAATAATTAGCCAGGCATGGTGGTCTGTGCCTGTAGTCCCAGTTACTTGGGACGCTGAGGTGGGAGAATCGCTTGAACCCGGGAGGCAGAGGTTGCAGTGAGCTGAAATCATGCCACTGCATTCCAGCCTGGGCTACAGAGGAAGACTCTGTAAAAAAAACAACAACAAAAACATAATGCTTACTCTTGAAATGAGAAATGAGAAATTTTCCTTTGACCACATGTATTCAGTATAGCTGCTCGATGTCGGACGGTATTAGCAGAATACAATATGTCTTGTGATGATGTAAGTATTTTTTTGGTTAGAAAATTATAAACCTGCATGAAAACACTGAAATTTTTGGCTTTAGAAAGGTAGATGTTTTATTAGCAATAAATTTTCTCTGTGGAATGAATAATGAGAATATACTTAGAGCATTGATTTTAAGAATCTTTTACATTGAACATCTTTGACATTGAGATCTATCTTACAATCAGTGAGATCTGACAAATTGGGAGAGTTGACAATATTTCTTAATGGCATAAAATCATGATGCATCTTATAACTGATGCATCTTAGAGTCAGTGAAGTACAGTGGTTGTTTGTTATTGACCAAAAATGGCTCAGCAGATACTGGTTTTGTAAACTACTGTTATTTATCAAGTGATATGCTATATATGTTATTTGTAAATAGAGTCATAGATTAATTTGTGGACTATGGACATATGAACCTATTGTGTTTTTAAAAGTAGATGATGGGAGACTGGGCATGGTGGCTCATGCCTCTAATCCCAGCATTTTGGGAAGCTGAGGCAGAAGGATCTCTTGAGTCCAGGAGTTTGAGACCAGCCTGGGCAACATTAGCAAGACCCCATCTCTACAAAAAATGTAAAAATTAGCCAGGCGGGTGGCGCACACCTGTATTTCCCAGCTGCTTGGGAGGCTGAGGCAGGAGAATTGCTTGAGCCCAGGAGTTTGAGGCTGCAGTGAGCTGTGATCATACCACTGCAGTCTAGCCTGGACGACAGTGAGACCCTGTCTTTAAGTAAATTAAAAACTATCATGTACCAGTGTATAATAAGGGTGTTGCACAATTTTGGTAGGTAGCTTCTATTTTGATTTGCTTATTTTATTTATAAAAGTGTCTTAGCCTTCAATTTAAAAAGTCATTAAACAAGTAATACGTATTCATTACAGAAATTAGAATAAAGAGGCCAGGCATGGTGGTTCATGCTTGTAATCCCAGCACTTTGGGAGGCCAAGGCGGGAGGATTGCTTGAGTCCAGGAGTTTGAGATGAACCTGGGCAACATAGCAAGACTCCGTCTCTACAAAAAATGAAAAGAGGAGGAAAAAAGATGTATGTAGTATTTTAAAATAAAGAGCTCAGAAGGAAACTCCACACAAAGGAAGCATTGAAAGCATAACTATTAATTGTTTAGTCTTGACTATAGAGAAGCGTTCTTATTCCTTGCACATACCATTTAAGGTTTATAAATAAGCAATGTTATTTTTACTAGAACTGTGTATTGAAAAAATTTTATCTTTTCATTTTTGCAGACAGGAAAACTAATTTTGAAACCTAGGCCTCATGTTCAATGACAATCTTCACTCATTGTTATGGGACTTAAAATAGCCTTTCTTCAAATAAGTGATACAGCAAAAAGCCATAAAGGATTCCTTTTGCGGTTGGATATGTAAAGGTCATAGCAGCAACTGACAAGAAGTGTGCAATATTTACCTGGATTATCTTGATGATGGTGACTCATTATCAGTGCTTTGGTACTTTTGATTACCTGTGTTTCAGTATTAGTGTCACTTTAGTACTTCAGATCCTGCAAAGATTTTTGCAGATGAAGTATGTATGTATGTTACTAAGTTAAACTTAGAAACAGAACCTCATTCAGTTTTTATAATGTATTTTTTGCAAACTACTGTAAATAGCAGATCAATGCCAATGTTAAACAAAGAGGAAAACGTTGTGTGGACTTTGTTCTCCTGCACCGGTATTTCAGGAACATCTGCTTGCCATCCCCACAGCTCTTTAAAATTGGCTATTATGTGTGCCTTTCATTCTTACACTTCTAATCATACTGCAGGAAAAACATTGGATTCAGCTTAGACTGAGGAAAACTCTCCATTATGTTGTAAGAAATTATAGATGTTTTGAGAAACACTTTTTGTTAAGCCAGATATTGAACTCCAACTATTGTGGTTTTATTTTTAGTTTATTGTTTTCTTTTTTTTTTTTTTTTTTTTTTTTTTGGTTTTTTTTTTTTTTGAGACGGAGTCTGGCTCTGTCGCCCAGGCTGGAGTGCAGTGGCTGGATCTCAGCTCACTGCAAGCTCCGCCTCCCGGGTTCACGCCATTCTCCTGCCTCAGCCTCCCGAGTAGCTGGGACTACAGGCGCCCACCACCGCGCCTGGCTAGTTTTTTGTATTTTTTAGTAGAGACGGGGTTTCACCGTGTTAGCCAGGATGGTATCGATCTCCTGACCTTGTGATCCGCCCGTCTCGGCCTCCCAAAGTGCTGGGATTACAGGCTTGAGCCACCGCGCCCGGCCTGTTTTCATTTAAATGCTAAATATCCTTTATATTGCTTTAATAATTTTTTTTTTTTTTTTTTTCTAATGGAGTCTCGCTCTGTCGCCAGGCTAGAGTGCAGTGGCACTATCTTGGCTCTCTGCAACCTCTGCCTCCTGGATTCAAGCGATTCTCCTGCTTCAGCCTCCCGAGTAGCTGGGACTACAGGCACATGCCACCATGCCCGGCTAATTTTTTTTTGTATTTTTAGTAGAGACAGGGTTTCACCATGTTGGCCAGGATGGTCTCGATCTCCTGACCTCGTGATCCTCCTGCCTCGGCCTCCCAAAATGCTGGGATTACAGGCATGAGCCACCGTGCCTGGCCTCTTTAATAATTTTTAAAATACCCTAAAGGCTTGTGAATATACGAGTCTACTGATAAATTATGTATTGTCTGGGAATTTGATAGTCACTGTTTTAGATAACTGGATTTTACGCTGTGGTAGACAAGCTGTTACACTAGTGTTGCACAGGTATAATTGATCATCCTACACCTTCACCAGAATAACTTGGGAGCGGTGCCACAAACTAGAGTCTACAATTCTCACTGTTTAGAGAGTGTTAATGACATACTGTGTATGCATAATAGCCACATGTACTATAATAGCCCTTAAAATTAAACTATTGGGATTGCTGTAAATATTTTAAAGTACTGGAGGTGCCTTTTACCTGTTTATTAGATTTTGAAAAGGTTTAAATTATTTCATGAGCAATCTTTTAAATTTCATTTAACATAAAGCTGAAAATTCAATAACAGGATAAAAAACTTTTTAACAAGGCTGCCATTTAACTTAAATGTGTTCATCTTAGCTTTCACATGTATAAAATTTTATTCTTTGAACTGCAGCAATAAAACCCTCTGCTCCTAAGAAGTCTTAAGAGGGTATTCTATATATTCTGCTTTGTTTTATTTTCTGTAAATTTTGTAGGTAAATATGTGCATAAAAAATAAATACTTTATATATAACTCGTGATTGGACTTTTTATTTGGTTTATTGTAAGTTTGTAACTCTGAAAAAAATGTTAAAACATATTGTCTGTATCAGATATAAGCTAGTCCCAGATGAGACATTTTACTTTAGCTCTGTGTCCAAGACAGCAAATTTTAAGTAGCACGTGTAGCTACCCAGTTTATTAGGTTATGATTACTTTTGATATGTCTTATTTATCATAGTGTAATAACACTTGGCTGTTAATAGGAAATACAGGTTTTGTCATATTGCTCTTTACAAACTTGGATTGCCAGTTTCCTCCAAGAGCATAAAGCCGAAGAAGTATGTTATAGGCCCTTCATCTTTTTTGGAGTCATGAATTCCTTTGAGGGTTTAATAAAAGACTTGACTCCTCCTCTAGGAAAACCCACCTGTGTCTTTGCATGCACTTGGAGGGAACTTCAGATGCCACATTACTTGGATTCCACAGGCTTCAAAAGAAAACAATCTGTTATAGTCCAGAGACTTTTCATACCTTAACTTCTAGCAGAACAACTCATTTTCCTAAAAAGTCTTCTTCATTTGGAATGGTCCAAGGATCCTTGTGACGTTAGTGTTTAACCACCACCTCTACCTTCTCATCCCTTCTCGCACGTTGTTAGGAGGTCACTGATAGAATCCAATCATCTAATTTTACAGGTGGGGTAGACAGTCTCAGATTTGCGAAGTCTCGGCCGGGCGCGGTGGCTCAAGCCTGTAATCCCAGCACTTTGGGAGGCCGAGGCGGGCGATCAAAGTCAGGAGATCGAGACACAGTGAACCCGTCTACTAAAAATACAAAAATAGCGGGGGGGGCGGGCGCTGTAGCTGACTCAGGAGGCTGAGGAGGAGATGGGGACCAGGGGCGGGCTGCAGTGGCGAGATAGCCATGCACTCCAGCCTGGAAGCGTGAGACTCCGTCTCAAAAAAAAAAAAAAAAAAAAAATTTGCGAAGTCTCTATACGAAATCCCCACAACTTAACTAAAGACAGAGCCAGCACCAAAATCCAAATCTCTGACTCAGATTGAATGGATCTTTACATATGTGTGTGAAGTGAATTTATTCAAGAGCCATTATAATATTACTGTTAAGAATGTAGACTGTTAAGCCAAACTGCCTGGATTTGAATCTCAGATCTGCTACTTGGTAGTTTTGTAACTCTAGCTAAATTATGCAACCTTAGTTTCCTCGTTTATTAAATGGGCATAATGCCAGTTTCTTTGGTACATTGAGATAATATATAGGATACAGGCATAATGCTAATCTTCCAGGCTTATTTCAAGTCTTAAAGTGTTAATTCATGTAAAGCACTTAAATAGTGCCTAGCTACAGAGTCAATCCTCAGTGTGGTTAACCCAAATCTTTAAGGGGAAAAAAAACCCCTGACTGTTAAACTTTGCCCAAAGTCAACATCTTAGTTGAGATGACCATGAGGAAATTTCACCTAATCTTTTGAACCAAGCAAACTCCTGCAAACGACTAAAGGCAAAGAGAGGATATTTGGCCTTACTCAGAAAATGGTGTTCGGTGTTTTCCTCTTCCTGAGGAACCTCTCTGAAAACATTCAAGCTCATGACTATCTGCTAGTGCTGCTTTTTGAGACGCTCTTTTTTCATTTAGAACTAGCCATCTTGACTGGCATTTTATAAAGATTTAACAATCCTTCTGACAAATGCCCTGCCCTCAGCAACTGAGGTGTCTCTCGCTCCCTGTCCTGTCGAAACCATAGAAATTTGAGTCTTACTCTTCAGACTCTAAACTTTATGCTTTTACAAAGGGTAAGTATAATTTCTTTTTTTCCCACCAAAGATAGGAAGTGCGTCTTGTCTGCTTCATCATGGAACACGTTAAAATCTGATGTTTTTAGTGTACCACTGAAACCTGCTATGCCAGTCTGACTGTATGAGAGACAGAGAAAAATAAAAGGATATTTGTTACCCTATTTTAAAGTGTGTCATCACTTTATAGACTCCCTTTTACATGGCAAGTGTTTTGCTGGGTTATTAATGTGTGAGAAAATTAGCTGGGCATAGCACACACCCACAGTCTCAGCTACTCAGTAGGCTAAGGTGGGAGGATTGCCTGAGCCTAGGAGTTCAAGGCTGCAGTGAGCTATGACTTGTGTGACTAGGACTCCAGCCAGGGTGACAGAACAAGACTGTCTCAAAAAAAAAAGGAAAATGAATTTCTGCCCTGTCAGAACCTCAGAACTTGTTATCTGGTGGGGAGTACAGACCAGTGGTCAAGTGGTCAAGCAGTTACCATGCGGTTTAAGTGCTATGAAAAGTAAAAACGCAGGATGCTACAGGAGTCCATGGGAAGAGGACCCAGCCAGACCAGCCTTTCCAAAGTAGGTGATTAGCAAACATCTGGTGTGTGTTGCCAGTAGGGGGAGAAGTTTTGCCGGGGAGGGGGCTGTGACGAGAGAAAACGGGAAGGAAGTAGGAACCAGAACATGGTATTTCATGAGGGCAATGGGAAGCCATCAAAGTGTTTTCAGTTAAGGAAGTGACAACTGGATTTGCATTTGTGATGACTGATAGGGCAGGACCTGGGAGGCCAGCTGGGATTGGCTGCTATAGCTCAGATGAGATATGTGGGCCCCAGAACTAGAGTTCAGGGAGTGGAATCGGAAATAAAACCTTAAAAAAAAAAAAAAATCTGTGCCTGGGCTTACCCAAAAACCTCTTAGAAGGCAAATGATAGATCAGCTTTGGCAAGTGGGGAATTTTTTTAATATTAAAAAAACAGGCTGGGCGTGGTGGCTCATGCCTGTAATCCCGGCACTTTGGGAGGCTGAGGCAGGTGGATCACCTGAGGTCAGGAGTTTGAGACCAGCCTGACCAACATGGCGAAACCCCGTCTCTACTAAAATAAAAAAACTAGCCTGGCATGGTGGCTAATGCCTATAATCCCAGCTACTCGGGAGGCTGAGGCAAGAGAATCTCTTGAACTTGGGAGGAAGAGGTTGCAGTGAGCCGAGATCACGCCATTGGACTCTAGCCTGGGCAACAAGAGTAAAACTGTCTCAAAGAAAAGGAAAAAAAAAATCTTTTTTAATGTCAAATGAATAGGACTTAGCAGAGGGCAGGAGAAGCAATTAAGCATAAAGCCTACCACCAGCACCACTTTTTCCATCATATGGATTTAGCCTGTTACAGAAATAAAAGTTCCATGATCACCAATATTTGGGAACTACTACATCTTCCTTCTGGAGATTGCTCATGCTGTAAAGCATATTAAAAGCTCCATGTTGGCTGGACATGATGGCTCACGCCTGTAATCCCGCTGCTTGGGAAGCCAAGGCAGGCAGATCGTTTGAACTCCGGAGACCGGGGCTGCAGTGAGCTATGATTGCACCACTGTATTCCCGCCTGAGCGACAGCGTGACACTCTGCCCCAAATGAATGAATGAATGAATGAATGTCCCGAGTGGCCCTGCAGTAGATAAACCTGTTAAACTGCCTGCTTTTCTGCCATTTCACCAAAGACTTGTTCACATTCTTTGGGGGATGGAGGGTGTTTGTTGTGGTTTCTGTCTGTACAGTTCCTCTTCTTTAATTGGAGAAGAGGCATGCAAATGTATTGAACATCCCACAGAGAGAATCACAGAGTGGTTGCCCTGCCCAGCTCCCTCTGAGCACCCGTGCTAGATTTGGGGAATGCTGGCTATGTCAGTTCATCCTCTCTCAGGACAACCCAGAAAACTCTGGACTCCTGCATTTGGGACCCAGGCATGGGTGGAGGTGGTAAAGCTGTGTTTCCATGGCAGAGTACTCATTGGCGCTCAGTGTAGGTGGCATCAGTTTCCTCATCCGACCAGTTCCGTAAGATGGGTTTGGGCATTTTTTTCTTCTGGAACTTTAGCCTTGAACCAGTCTCTCTAGACCACTCCAAAACCCTGAAATACCCAATATCCTTTAAATAATTGGTTTTCAGTTTACTCAAAGTCAGTTTCTCTTGCTTGCCTGACTGCTAGAGTAGTACACAGCAGTTGTGTTCCAGGAGCATGCTGTGGAGAGTTGAACTAATGGATGAGAGTGCTTCCATCAAGCCTCAAGCCATCTGGCAGGTGAGAGAGCTCAGGGCCATGTGCAGTGGAAGGATCCAGACTTGGCAGATCAACGTGGATTACAGTTCCATTTCCTCCATTAGCCAGTGCGGCAAGTGACTTATTCTCTCTGAACCTTAATTTCATTTAGGCCTATTAGATAGCTATCTTGCAGAATAGCTAGAAGGATAAAATGAAATAATGTATGTAAAAGATAACTTTCCAGCTTTTTTTTTTTTTACCACAAACTAATTTTTGAGTCGCTATTCTGAGTCCTTGTTATAGGTGTACCTTGAGTACCCAAGAGTGCTGGCATCTATGGAAGATGCTCAATTGTTGTTGAACAAATGGATGAATCTTGACTTTGGTATTGAAATTGAGTTTGTACATAAATACATAAATACACTAAAATATAAATTTTATTTCTTTTTGCAGTTGGGGTCTTGCTCTGTCACCCAGGCTGGCATGCAGTGACACAATCATGGCTTACTGCAGCCTCCAACTCCTGGGTTCAAGCAATCCTCACACCTCAGCCTCCCAAAGTGCTGAGATTACAGGCTCTTACCATTCCTAGCTAACTTTTTGATTTTTTGTAGCAACATAGTCTCACTATGTTGCCTAGGCTGGTCTCGAACTCCGGAGCTCAAGTCATTGTCCCGCTTCAGTCTCAGATTTGTAATTTAAATAACAGTAGGGAAACTAAAATCACTAAGTCTACTGTAAGTTCATTAAGTAAATTTAAAAAGAAATATATCCTTGCTAGAAGATGAGTTTTAAATTCTGTCTCCTACAAGTATCAGATTTATTTTTTTTTTCCTGATCTACCCTGAAAACCATTTAAAAACAAATTATTCTGGAACGTTTTAAACACATGTAAACATAGACAGAGTGATATAATGAACCCCCATCACCCAACTTGAGCAATTATCAACACATAGCCAATCTTGTTTC